TATATATATATATATAAGGATATATATCCTTAATATATGTTCTTATATACAGATTAACCCTTGCCTCCCCTAGAGGGTTATTGCCTGCATTTTCATCTCTTGCTATTTTTTCTTCCTTGCCTGCAAATCAGTTTATATTCAGTCTTTAGCTAGCAACTTAACGACCATCCTCTGCACTATACAGCAGCAGCAGTAGCAACAGCAGCAGCAACAACAGCAACAGCAACAGCAACAGCAACAACAACAGCAGTAGCAACGGCAGCAGCAGCAACAACAACAGCAGCAGCAACAGCAGCATCAGCAACAGCAGCAACAGCATTAGCAAGGGGAGAAGTCTTCCTGTGTATGAATCCACCTGATGATTAAATGGATTGGCATTATGGGGGCCCCCTTGAGGGGCCCTTAGGGCCCATAAGGGGGCCCTCAGGGTCCCCATCTTCAAGGGTACGGGGTCGTTCTGCTGCTACTCGTCCTCTTAGACCTGATGATAGTCTTATAACAAATATATTAAATGGTAAGAAAAGTTACTGGGAGGCACTAGACGATTTACGTAGATTAATAGGGGAATTAACAAGAGAAAATGATATATTAAAGGATAAAACAGCAGCGCAGCAGAGTTTGCTGCAGCAGCGCAGCAGTGCATATAGACAAGAGAGAAGACAGCAGCAACAGCAGCAACAAAAACAGCAACAAAAAATGTCTGAGGCTATGCAATCCTTAAAAGAAGAGAATGCTGTATTAAGGAAGCAAGCAGCAGCAGCAGCAGCAGCAAAACAAGATCTGCAGCAGCTGGCGCAGCAGCTAGAGCAGCAAAGAGCAGAGAGCGAACAAAAGAGTAATATATTATCATTAAAGCAGCGTCAATTAACAGCAGCAAAAGAAGCAGCAGAGCGCAGCAGTGCAGCAGCAAGAGGATTAGCAGAGAGAGCAGAAGGACTGCAGCAGCAGCTAGCAGCAGCAGCAGCAAAAAAAAATATGCTTCTTAGTAGAGTAAAAAGGGAAATAAAAGATTTAAGAGATTCAGCAGCAGCAGCAAAAGCAGCATTTGAGGAAGAATTAGCAAAAACAGAAGAAAGAGCAGCAGCAGCAGAGAAAGCAGCAGCAGCACAAGTAGCAGCAAAAGATAGGCAATTACGTTTGCTGCAGCAAGCAGCAGCAGCAGATCAATCACAAGTATCTTATAGTATAAAAAGACAAGAAGAATTAGAAAGACAATCATCTAAATTACGTTTGATGCTGCAGCAGCAGCAGGAGCGTGCTGCAGCAGATGCAGCAAATAGCAGCAACACTATACAGGAACTAGAAAGACAATTAACACAAGAAAAAAAAAATAAAGAAAAAATTAATCAGGAATTTAATTTAATTAAAAATAATTTTCTTCTTATTAAACAACAAAATGATAAAACAGAAGAACAAATTAAATTATTACAAAAAGAACAAATTAAACATCAAGTATGCAGCTGCTGCTGCTGCTGTTGTTGCTGTTGCTGTTGCTGTTGCTGTTGCTGTTGCTGTTGCTGTTGCTGTTGCTGTTGCTGTTGCTGTTGCTGTTGCTGTTGCTGCTATTGCTGCTGTTGCTGTTTGTAGTGTCTTCTTTTCTCTTTGTTTATGTTTATTTATGTGTGTGTCTCCTTTTATATTTGTGTGTCTCTTTCTTTGTCTCCTTTCCTTCTTATTAATTATTAATTAATTAATTAGTTAATTAATTAATTACTTATTTATTTATTTATTTATTTATTTATTTATTAAACGACGGCGGCAGGATTCGAACCTGCGCGGGCAGAGCCCAGTAGATTTCTAGTCTACCTCCTTAACCACTCGGACACACCGCCATGTTTTTTTTCTTCTTTTTCTTCTTTTTTATTTTTTTCTTTTGTTCTTCTGTTCCCTTGCCTCTAAACCCTAAACCCTAAACCCTTTTTTGTGCGTTTGTTTGTGCTGCTGTGCTGCCGCAGAGTCTGTTGAAGGAGGCGGAAAGAGAAGCAGCAGCAGCAGTAGCACGGGAAGCAGACGTAGCAGCAGAACGTCAGCAGCTGCAGCAAGAGTTGGCAGCAGTGCGTGAAGCAGCAGCAGCAGCAGCAGCAGCCGATCGGCAGCAGCGTGAGGAATTAAAGAAGGCATTAGAGGAAGATGCAGCAGCAGCAGAGCGTCAGCTAGCGAAAACAACAGCAGAGTTACGTGTTGAGAGAACCAAGACAGCCCAGTTGCAGCTGCAGCAGCAGCAACAGCAGCAGCAGCTGCAGAAGCTCAAGGAAGCAGAGACGCAGCTGCAGCAAATCGCCATCCCCTTCGCTCGTATAAAGTCTGCATTTGCTGCTGTGTCTGGGCAGGTTGCTGCTGAAGGGCCGCAGCTTGCTGCTGCTGTCTGTAAAACTCTGCACGAATTCGCTGAAGCAAAACAAGAACTACAGGTAAATTGGATAGATTGCTAGCTAGCTAGCTAGCTAGCCAGCCAGCTAGCCAACGATCAGCTGGCTAGGTAGATAAAGAACCGCTAGTCACGCAAGTGGCTAGCTAGGCAGACGAACAACTAGCTATAAGCTCTGCTGCTGTTGTTGTTTTGGTTGTTGCTGCGTTGCAGGCACAAGAGGCCGCATTGGGCACTTTGCAGCAGCAGGTGAATGACCTGCAGCAGCAACTACAAACAGCAGCAGCAACAACAGCAGAACTAGCAAAGACACGAGAGGAGCTGACGCAAATAAGAGCAGCAGGAGAAGCAACAACAGCAGAGTTAAGGAAGCTAGGGGATCAGCATGCAGTTTTGCTGCTAGAGAAAGATAGAATGGAGAAGCAGCACAGCAGCAAGATGCAGCAGATGCAGCAGCAAATGGAAGACACAGAGCAACAGCTCAAGAAAGCAGCAGCAGCTGCTGCTGCGGCAGCAGCAGAGATGCAGCAACAGCTGCAGCAGCAGCTCGATAATGCAACACAGAGAGCAAATATGCTGCAGCAGCAATGTGATGAGACGGAGCATGCCTTGCAAGAGGCACACAGACAAGCTGACAGTGCAGCAGCAGCAGCAGCAGAAGCAGCAGCAGCTGCTGCTGCTGCACTGCAGCAGCGGGAAGCAGCACTGGAAGACCTGCAGCAGCAGCTGCAGCAGCGCCAGAAAGAGTTGGCTGCTGCTCAGACACAAATGCATGCAGATGCAGAAGCAGCAACAGAAAGAGAAAAGAAGCTGCGTAGGGAGCAGCAGGAGCTGCAGGACCAGCTGCAGCAGCTAACAACAGCAAAGGAAGCAACAGCAACAAAAGCGACGCGACTGCAGCAAGAGTTAGAGCAGCAGCAACAACAGCAGCAGCAGCAAAAGCAGAAGTTAGACACTCAGCTGCATGAAGCACAGCAGCAAATAGAAGAAATGGAGAGGCGTCTAAAGCAGCAGCAGCAGCAGATGCAGCAGCAGCAGCAGCAGCAGAGTGAAGAGCAGGAAAGAAAGGAGAAGCAGAACCAACAGCAGCAGCAGGAACTGCAGCAACAGATAGAGGAGCTGCAGCAGCAACTTAAGAAGAAGCAGCAGCAGCAACAACGCGAAGCAGAAGATTATAAGCAGCAGCTGCAGCAGCTGAAGCAGCAACTGGAAAATGCTAAGAAGGCTGCAGCAGATGAGCAGCAGCAGCACGAGCAGCAGCAGAAGCAGCAACAACAGAAGCAGCAGCAGGAGCGTCAACAGCAGCAGCAGAAGGAGGAGGAGCAGATGAAGGCTGTTGAAGCAGCAAAATCTGAGGCACAGCAGAAGGAGGAGGAGTTGCAGCAACTGCAGCAGCAACTTCAGCAACTGCAGCAGCAACTGCAGCAACAGCAGCAACAGCAGCAGCAGCAGCAAAAAGAATTAGAGACTAAGACTAATATGATAGAAAGCGCCAAACAAAAATATGCAGACTTAGCAACTAAGCACAATGAATTAGTAAAGAAATTTAATGCTGCTGTTTCTATGGAGAAGGAGCAGCGCAGCAAGAGTGAGGAAGCAGCAACAGCAGCAGCAGCAGCAGCAGCAATTGCTGATGAGAAGCAACAAGAAATAACTGCAGCACAGCAGCAAATAGATGCACTTAAAAAAGAATTACAAGCAGCAAAAGAAGCAACAAAAAAAGCAGAGGAAGCAAAAAAAAATGCAGAAAATAAAGCTGCTGCTGCTGCTGCTGCACCTGCTGCACCTGCTGCTGCACCGGCCCAAGGCAAAGCCAAGGCTAAGGCAGCACAACTAAAACCTAAAGAAACACCTGCAGCTCCTGCAGCAGATAAGGGTGAGGCAGCTGCTGTTGCTGTTGCTGTTGCTGCTGCTGCTGCTGCTGCTGCTGCTGCTGCTGATGCAGCTGGTGTTATTGCTGCCACTGTGCTGTTGTTGTTATTGCTGCTGTTATTGCTGCTGTTGTTGTTGCTGTTTACAAATGTGTGTGTGCGTTGCTGTTGCGTTTATGTGTGCTTCTGCAGCAGCAGCAGCACCAGCACCAGCAGCAGCGCCTGCAGCAGCAGAAGCAACAGCAGAGCAGCAGCCGGCTGCGGAGAGTGGAGGAGGTTTCTTCTCTTGGTTTGGGGGAGGAGGAGACACGGCAGCAACAGAAGCAGCAGCAGGAGCAGAAGAAGCAGCAGCAGCAGAGCAGCAGCCTGCTGCTGAAGAAGCTGCTACCAGCGGCTGGAGCCTCTGGTAGTTGTCTCTAAACCCTAAACCCTAAACCCTAAACCCTAGGGTGCTAAACCCTAATTTTCTTTGCTTTAATACAGACGTTACGGACAAATAGTAAACAGGAGACAAAAAGAAAAAGAAAAGAAACAGAAAAAGGAGACAAAAAGGAGACAAAAAGAAAGAAGAGAGAAAGGGAGACAACGTTTGCTGCTGTTGCAGATTTGCAGCTGTTGAGAATGTGCTGCTGCTGCTGCAGCACGCGCTGTTGTTAGTGTAGAAGAAGCAGCAGCAGCAACCATAGGAGCAACGGCAGCAGCTACTGCTGCAGTCGGTGCTGCTCTTGTGCTGCTCTGCTGTTCGCCATGTTGTTTATAGTGTCTTACATTAGTAAACCCTAAACCCTAGCAAACCTACATAAATCTTAGACTAGTAAACCCTAAACCCTAATTCTTCAACTAGTAAAACCCTAAACCCTAGACCCTACAAGACTAGCCATTATAAACACTCAGGAGGAACCCGAACAATACACATTAAACCCTAAACCCTAAACGCTAAACTATTGCTAGTAATAAAAGATAAAAACAATAAAATAAAACAAAATAAAGGTATAAATATAAAATTAGGGAAGATTCAATAAAACTCGCAGTACCTTGGGGGGCCCCCCATGCGGCAGCAGGGGCCCCTCTGCTGTTTGCTGCTTGGCAGCAGCAGCAAAAGGAATTCTTTATTGTAAAAAATATTTTATTCTGTTAATTTAAATTGTCTTCCTTCATTATCTTCAGTGTACAGACACCAACACCAGACTCTTCCTGCTGTTGCTGCTGCTGTTGGTGGTGCTGCTGCTCACAGTCAGGGCCCCCAGCCCGGGCCGTACCAGCAGCAGCAGCAACACCAGCAGCACGAGAGGCAGGAGCAGCAGCAAAAGAATCAACAACGACAACTTAAACAATACGAGAACATTGTGTTGTTTCCTTTCTGTATCCTGGGGGCCCGTGGGGGCCCCCCAGGGTACAGAAAAGGGTCACCACGGGGGCCCCTGAGGGTACTGAAAGGGGTCAACCCAGGGGCCCCCAGGAGGCGATGAGGCCCCTGGGGGCCCTCTTATTGCGCCCTTTGGCCATTCAATTGAGAATCAGGGGGGACCCCCAGATGCCTTTGGGCCCCTTGAGTCTCGTAGAAAACATCACAAGGAATGAAGGGGCTCACAGGGCCCCCCGCAATTGTACTGCAGGTCTGGGGGGCCCCCCTTTGGGCCCCTTGTGGGCCCCCCTTGGGGACCCCTGCTGCGCAGGGAGCAGCAGCTTGTGGCGGGTACGTATGATGCCGTGCTTTCCTGCTAGTGACACAAATTGCAGCATGCACCGGACCATTCCTGTTGCTGCTGCTGCTGCTGCTGCTGCTGCTGCTGCTGCTGCTGCTGCTGCTGGGAGGGCTTCTATACACACGCAGACGAAGGGCCGCAGCAGAAGCAGAGGGCACCAGCAACCACCAAAAGGCTCGGTGCTACGGCGACACCTTCGATTCTTTTTCTTAAAAGTTCATCCTGGTGAGGCTGCTGCTGTTGCTGCTGCTGTTGCTGCTGCTGTATAAGTAGCATTAGCACAAGCACACATGACTAGCAGCAGCAGCAACAGCAACAGCAGCAGTAACAAGATGTATGCGTGCATGTGTGCATGCAGATTTAACTCATGATTTCCCTAAGGATGCCCGTCAGGTAAATGTCTCTTCTCTCTCTCAATTAAATGCTTACCTTGATTTGCTGCAGCAGCTGCTGCAGCAGCAGCAGGAGCAGCAGCTAGAAAATAAAGTCCCCTTTGTTGGCAAAACCATCACCTTCTTCCTCCCGCAGCAAGCTGCAGCAGCAGCAGCAGGAGCAGCAGCAGGAGCAGCAGCAGAACCCATCGACGCGCTCGACATTGTGCAGCGGGAACTCCGGCAGCAGCAACAACAGAAGCAACAACAGCCGCAACAGCAACAGCAACAGCAACAGCAGCAGCAAGAAGTGCAGCAGCAGCAGCAGCAGCAGCAGCAGCAGCAGCAGCAGCAGCAGCAAAGGAAGCAGATGGTGCGACCTGTGCATATTCACCTCCACTCTTTGCCTTTTGAAATTCACCGATCACAAGTCGAAGCAATTGTAGAAAAGTTCGTAAACCCTAAACCCTAAACCCTAAACCCTAAACAGTAAACCCTAAACCCTGAAAGCTGACAACTGTAGCCGGTAGCTCTGCCTCTAGTGTTACGACCATCGGAAGAAGGAGAAAGATTCCTGTATGCGCAGCGAAGCTGTCTTTAGGGTCTAGGGTTTAGTGTTTAGGGTTTAGGGTTTAGGGTTTGTGTCTGCAGTTTATATTTGCGACTGAGGGCTGCTGCTGATGGAGAAGATTTGCCAACAGAGGGAGGACCAAAACCCGCGCCCCTTTTATCCCCCAAGTACAAAGAGAGGTAAGTGCAAAACCCTAGTAAACCCTAGTAAACCATAAACCCTAGTAAACCCTAAACCCTAACACCTCTTATAGCCCTAATAAACGCAAACCTTTGTAAAACCCTAAACCCTCAATATGCTGCAAAACCCCCCTCGTTACCAATCGTTGCTATTTGGAAACGAAAGGGATCCGGCAGAGATTCTAAGACTTCAGGGTTTAGGATTTAGGGTTTAGGGTTTAGGGTTTAGGGTTTGGGGTGTTTGGGGAGCAGAGATGCGATGGCAAATCTATGGGAACGACAAATAGAAGAAGTTGCATTTAAGGATGCTCTCTACCAACAAGACATAAAATATGTGGCGTAAACCCTAAACCCTAATAAACCCTAAACCCTAATAAACCCTAAACCCTAGTAAACTCGTAACCCTTGCTTCCGAGGCCTTTCGTAAACCCTAAACCCCAAACCCTAAACCCTTGCCTGCAGGCGGGTAAAAGCTATGAGACGATGCTTTCGTGAGTATGAGAAGAAGCTAACCATAGATGCCCTCTGGACCAAGGTAAACCCTAAACCCTAATAAACCCTAAACCCTAATAAACCCTAAACCCTAATACCCTCTGCAAGGCACCCTATGCACCGTAGAGAGCAAAGAAGAGGCAAAGCCTCTGGGGTAGAGAAAAGCTGTGGTTGGTCCTCTAGGGTTTAGGGTTTAGGGTTTAGGGTTTTGTGTTGACAGAACAGGAAGACAAGGAAGCGCAAACTTGCCAGAGTCCTCAAACGAGCAGAGAGAATAGTAAGTTGTAGGGTTTAGGGTTTAGTATTTGCTGTTGAATATAGCAGGGTGAGCATATCAAGCACCTTGTCAGGCTCCCCGAAGGGTTTAGGGTTTAGGGTTTAGGGTTTGACCTGCATATTGTTTCGCCATTCGAGTTTAGGGTTTTGCATATCGACCCTCTCGTCTCGAGTTCCTCGTTTCCGTCTTAGTGTTTTAGGGTTTAGGGTTTAGGGTTTTAGGGTTTAGGGTTTGTATTCAGGTATATAGGAAGTTTGGTCCTGACCCCAAGAGGCCTCCTGCAGATGTTGTTGAATTGCAGCAAAAAGTTGCAATGGCAGAAAAGGGTTATAATCCTGAGCTGGTGTACGTACACCCCAGTCTAACACCGCAACAACGAGAGGTAACAAACCCTAAACCCTAAACCCTAATAATGCATGGGTACACGTAAACGGCACCTGAGGGAAGCAGCGGCAAAAGTGATACAGCAAAACGAAGCACTGTAAACCCTAAACCCTTACATGCACACCAGATAAACTCTTTTTAATGTTTTAGGGTTTAGGGTTTAGGGTTCGTGTCTGCTGCTGCTGCGTTGCCCATAGGAAGCAATTCAGCGCCTGCTTGGTCGCGCGCAGCAGCAGCAGCAGCGACCAGCAGATATTTTTTTATTGGATGGTCTTTTGCGTACATTAAGGAATAATAAACCCCCTATTCCTATTCTTATATATAAACAATACCAATTACTACAGGAGGCAGGGATGCTAGAGGTACTAGTGCTGCTGTTGCTGCTGCTGCTGCAGTTGCTGCTGCTGATGCTTGGTGTTGTTGTTACTGCTGCCGTGCTGCTGTTAGCTGTGTAAGCTGCTGCTACTACTGCAGCAGCAACTCCTGCTGCTCTGTGCTTGTTTAATAGAAAGCGTGTTTGCGTCTCTGCTGTTGCTGTTGCTGCTGCTGCTGCTGTTGCTGTTGCTGCTGCTGCTGTTGCTGTTGCTGCTGCTGCTGCTGCAGGTGCCCTACAATTTTGAAGTTTGGCCGCTTGCGGACTTCGTCGAAAAACACATCGACGAAGTATCGCGCGTAAGAAAGAAGGTAAGCAGCTCAGCAGCGGCAGCAACAGCAGCAGCAGCAGCATGAGAAGGTCCTACAGGTTAGAGTAGCAGCAGCTAATTGTGCTGATGGTTTTGCTGTTGCTGTTTGCTGCGCTGCTGCTGCTGCTGCAGTTGTTAGGTGCCCTCGCTGAGGAATTTAAAATCTAAGAGGTATTAAACAACTTCTATCAATGGACTCCCTCTTGCATGCATGCATGCGTGCATGCATGCATGCATGCAAAGAAATGCATGCAAAAAGAATACATGCATGGAGGCAAATAGATGCATGCAAACAAATGCATGCAAGCATGCAAACAAATGCATGCAAGCTTGCAAACAAATGCATGCATGCATGCATGCATGCATGCATGGTTACATTGTTGTTTGGATCTATATAGGAGACAAAATCATTTAAAAATCTGTTTGCGGAGAAAGTCCTTGTTGGCGTATCTACCCAACATTATTAAAAGGGTTTAGGGTTTAGGGTTTAGGGTTTGTTATTATTAGGGTTTATTATTAGGGTTTAGCATTAGGGTTTAGTACATAAGGGTTTAGTGTTAGGGTTTATTAGACATTGTGGTTTATTATTGTGGATTATATTGTGAACCTAAAACCTAATTATTTTCATAATTAGGGTTTAGGGTTTAGGGTTTCCTAGGGTTTCCTAGGGTTTTCTAGGGTTTAGGGTTTAGGG